GAGGCGTGAGACCATCAGATGTAGGGCTTCCAGGGGCTCAGGTGCTGCTGTGTGCGTGGTCTTGCAGGGTGGCAAGGAAGAGGGAGCAGGAGGACTGGCAGAGGGATGGAGAGATGGGGTGGGTGAGAGAGGTAGAGGGGGTGGTTTGTAAGGGGCCAGGGAAACTAGATTCATGGAAACAGAACAACCAGATGGGAACTGATGAAGAATTATGGAGAATGTAATCTACTTCACTGAACAGTTTATGTACAAATTGTTGATTGAGAACCTGAATGTGTGAACCCACACCCCAAAACACAATGAAACATCACTTTAAAGATGTATTACTTAACTGGATTGCTGAGATGTGGGGCATTTCTCTAAATCTTTCCTCCGAACTAAGGTTCCTCTTCACCTCTCTGTTGTTGGGATGCTACATGCCATCAGGCGTTGGTGTTTGCTGGGATGTGGATGTGAGAGGATGGGAGGGAAGGTCTGGGGGCACTGGGATTCCTGGCTGGGAGACTGGGGCAGGTGCAGCATTCCTGAGATCTGAGACAGCAGTGGGGGCTCGCAGGGGGCTGGGCAGCTGGTGGACAGAGCTGAGACGTGGCCCTCCCGCAGCAGCTGCATGGCCTGAGGTTGGCAGCCCCTCCCGCCTGCAGGAGGCCCCACCCCTATCCTGACTGCTGGAGGGTGTACAGTTGATCCCCCAGAATCTTCCAGGCTCCGTGTGGAGACTCCTGCAACCCAGCTTCTCAGGCCACCAGGAAATGAGTGTCTCCCAGCTCACATTACCAAAAAAGGACATGTGCACCGTTTGAGGGTTGGCCCAGCTCTCCTCCCCCTCTGCTCCTACCACCACCTGGGCTTTCAGGTTCCCAGGGAAGTGGCTCTGAAGAGTGAAGTTCATTGTCTCAGATCCACTCTGTGGATCAGCCTGTGGACATGCAGGTCCCCCTCCTCACCTCCTCTCAGCTACCATCATCTTCGTCATGATTGGTGACAGTATGCCCTCCTAGTCCTGTCCAGGGCTAAATGCTTCCAGAAGCTCTCTCTCACTTGGTGTCCACAGCACCTCCAACAGGGGAGAAGTATTATCTCTGCTTTAGGAATGGAGAAGCCAAGGCACAGAGAAAAAAGTGAATCCCTGAGCTTCTGAGAGCCCTGATAATGCAGGAACTCAGAGGAAGCTAGTGGGCACTTCCTGCCAGTACAGCCTGACCTGGCCTTAAAAGGTTATTCATAGAGTTTTATCATCAAGGTTTTGTGTGGGTTTTTGTGGTTTTTTTTTTTTTAGAAATAGTGCATTAATTTCTTTACTTACTGACCCATCAACAATACGTTAAGACGAAGGTGAGAATGTCGTTTTTAGGTGCCACCAAGCCTACGATGACTCATAGTGACCCTGTGAACAACAGACCTGAAATGTGCCCTGTTCTGCGCCATCCTCACCGTCTGATAAGTTCAAGGTCATTGTTTCAGTTTGTCAATCCATCTTTTGAGCATCTTCATCTCTTTCTCTGACCTCCCACCTTTCCCAGCATGATGTCCTTCCCCAAGGACTGCGGACAACACACCCAACATATATAAGACAGAGTTTCACCATCCTTGTCTCTAAAGTGCATCCTGGTTTGTAAGGCAGCAGGGAAACTAGATTCATGGAAACAGAACAACCAGATGGGAACTGATGAAGAATTGCATACACATTACGGAGAATGTAATCTACTTCACTGAACAGTTTAATGTACAAATTGTTGATTGAGAACCTGAATGTGTGAACCCTCACCCAAAACACAATGAAACATCACTTTAAAGATGTATGTATTACTTAACTGGATTGCTGAGATGTGGGGCTTCTCTCTAAATCTTTTCTCTGAACTAAGGTTCCTCTTCACCTCTCTGTTGTTGGGCTCCTACATGCCATCAGGTGAATTCAGAGTGACCCCATGTGACACAGTAAAACTTCTGGATCAGGCACACCTTAGTCTCTACACTGACTTCGTTGCTCTTCAGTAGTCTGGAGAGGTCTCTGACAGCAGACTTTCCCAGTACAATTCATCTTTTGATATCCTGGCTGCTGGTACCAAGAGTGTTGATTGTGGAGCCAAGCAAGCCATTAACAATCTCAGTCTTTTCACCCATCTATCATGATGCCGTCAGTTAGCCTAGGGGTGAGGATCTTTGTTTTGGTTGTTTGGTTTTTCATACTGAGCTTCTAAATAAATAATAATAATAATAATAAAGAATAATAATAATAATACAGTAAAAACTTATGGGTAGCAGTGGGACATTGATGACATGCTGGACGAAGGGCCCCAGAGGTGACAGAGCAAACAAAGGACCACTGAGGAAGAGTCCCTCCTCAGAGTGGAGGCCACCTTGATGTGTAAAGTGTCCAGAAGGGAAGGTTTCTGGTCTTCCTTTTGTTGATAAACTTGAAAATGAGATGAAATGGTTACACATGCTCGTAATAACTCGAATGGGGACTGTGCAGTGTACAAATTAAGGAAAATTTGAAGTTGTCAAAAAGTAATAAATAATGGAATTGAACACTTGAAGATCAATATCCTAGGCGTAAGTAAGCGGAAATGGATGAATAGTGACTGTGTTTTTTTAAAATCAGACAACTAGTGGCCTACAAGGCTGGGAACAACAGAGTAAAGAGAGGTGTCACGTTTATCATCGGGAAGAGCATTTCAAGAGCTGTCCTAAAGCACATCTCTGTCAGTGAGAGCCGTATCCACATGGTTACGGAAAGACTAGTTAATAACAGAAGGAAAACTAGTTAATACCTTTCTGACACGTCTGTGCTGGCTCTCGATTTTAAGGTTTCCACTGCCCCCTCAGGTCCAATAATTCCCTTCAATGATTCACTGAACTCAGCAAAACATACAATTATACCTGTTTCTTGAGTGAAAGGGCACAAAAGAGGAGGCCCATAGAGTAAGGCTAGGAGGGTCCCAAACTTGGAGCTTCCGTGCCCCCGGGAATGTGTGACTCCTGGGGGGTCAGCGTCTGTCACCAACCAGGAAGCTCACTGGAGATTTTGTTGGGGTTTCACCACACAGATGATTGGCTGACTAGCTGGCCTTGATTAGAACTCAGTGTCCAGCTTCCCCCCAGCCCCCTCGCTACAGGTGTGTCTTTCTGGCACAACCAGTCTCCATTCTCTCTCACGTGTGGTCTGGAACCTTCTGTGTGCAACAAAGACACCGCAATTTCTTGAGAAGGTCCAAGGTTTTAGAAATCACCTCTCAGGAACCCTGAACAAAGGTCAGTCACCCTTGGAGAGAGAATCAGAACAGGACAGGGAAGGAACTAAGAGTCAAGACAGGATCCCTGCTCCAGCCTGCTCCAGGGGGCACACTGGAGCAGGAATTGCATCACAGGGTTGGTTCCCCTGGGGCAAAAGAGCTGGCCATTGAAGAACTCCACTGTTAACAGCAGCAAGGTCAGTGGTTAGAACCCACCAGTTGCACCATGGGAGAAAGATGGGGCTGTCTAGTTATGTAAAGATTTATAGCTTTGGAGACTCTCTCAGGCAGTGAGTTCTCTTTCCTGTAAGGGTGCTATGAGTTCAGATAGACTTGATGGCAGTGGCTTGTCAGTCAGCCATTGGTGGTGGCTCCCTGGGAAGGAGGAATAGATGGCCAGGTGGGTGTTTAACTTTGAGGACAACCTGCAATTTTCAAAGGCAACTGTGAGCTACTAGCCATCAGCTTTTCCAGCTGAAGGATAGTGACATTTGCCCAAAGAGAGGATCCAGGCAGGGCACCAAAGTGTCTACTCTTGTTGTTGGCTGCAGTCCTGTTAGTTCCCAACTCAGTGTGACCCAGTGGGGTGAGCACAATGGGCCCGAACACTGTCTGGTCCTGTACTGTCTCCATGGTCAGTTACCTGATGGGTCATTATGGTCCACAGAATTTTCATTAGCTAATTTTCAAAAGTGGATCACCAGACATTGCCTCCTACTCTTAGTCTAGATGTCTTGCTGAAACATGTTCCCATCACAGCAACAGGCAAGCCTCCACTGACGGAAGGTGGTGGCTGCACCTGAGGTGCATTGACTGGGAACTGAACCTGTGTCTTCCACGTGGAAGGCAGAGATTCTGCTCCCTGGACCACCATTGTCCTCACAGATGAGAAAAACCTATACCAGCCTCTTAACTAAAAAGCAACATTTTCTTCAGTTAGTGAAGTGGGTGGTAAAACATAATTCTATCAGCATTTGTCTGTAACTTTGTTCCAATAGAGCTCACATATTTTCACATAACCTTACTATTAACAGATACAGCCATTATTTTACTCTGTAAAATGTGGTAGTTGATAGATTTTTTGTTTAATAAAGAAGGACACATATTATTACATTAGAATTTCCTTTTCCTTGGTAATAAAATGTCAATAAAATTATGTGCCTTTGTTGCCCATCTTTCTCCCATTGAGTCACTGGAAGATTCAAACCATATACCTTTGGATTGGCAGCTCAGTTCCTTACCACTGTGGCATTGGGGTTTCCTCCCTTGGGGGATTGAAAAACTCAGACTCATTGCAGTGGAGTTGTTGGTTCTGACTCTTGGTAATCCTCCATTGGGTTTCTGAGGCTGCAAATCTGAACAGGAGAACACTGTCCACCCCTCTTCTGCTGGACTCAAACCACCAGAGTCACATAGCCTTTTGCTTACCAGCCCGACTGTAGACTTTGCTGCCATAGTGTGTTTGGAGGGTTACAGGGGAGATTTCTAATGGGCCAGACCTAGAAATAACATACACATTCCTGCCCACATCACGTGGACCAAACTCCACTGGCTGATCACATCTGTCAATTGCAAGGGAGGCTGGGAAGTGTCATCTGGTTCTCAGAAAGAAGAAGATGAGGTCACACAGGAGTTTGAGCAAATGTGCATTGACAACCGGAGTGAATGACTCTGCTGTCCAGGTGTGCTCTTTGTGGGCAGGGGAGGAGGGCAGAGGATGGTTCTCTGGAGGAATCCTGAACTCTTCTCATGTTGTCTCTTTAGGACAAGCCACGCCAAGGCCAAAGCTGAGGCAGCAGAACAGGCTGCCCAGGCTGCCAACCAGGAGTCCAACATCGCCCGCACGTTGGCCAGGGAGCTGGCTCCAGACTTCTACCAGCCAGGTAGGGCCAGCCAGGACAGATCGGGGCATGGACTCTGGGATGGTGAGCACTTTGCTTGCTGAAAAGCTGAGATGCCCATGTGGGTTCATGGATATTTGCGAGTTTTAGAAGGTGGGGCACACGGGGGGGGTGGAATGATGCAAGGGGACTTTAGGGGAGCACCCCTGTTCTCACCTTGCTAATATCAAATGGGCCTGTCGGAGACTCCCTGCTGAGGAGTTGAAAGGCACAGAGACAGCATGGAGAGAGGTGGCAGTGACTGAAAATCCCTATTGTACTGTTCTCCAGTGATGAGACCTTGGGCAAATTACTTAAGACCCATAAACCTCAGTTTCCAGATCTGTGAAATGGGAATAAGATGGTGCTTGCATTTTTGCTGTGGATTAAACATATGTACAGTGTGCAGAGTCCACAGAAGCAGCCAGTAACTGTTGGCTGTTGTTTCAGGATTCTGGTAAACTTCCAGACAGGATGATGAGTGCTGTGTGGTTAGAACAGGGAACGTGGGGGTCCCCAGAGGGGCATGGAATTCAGTCAGGCCAGTGGAAGTGTTAGAGAAGTGGCCCAGGCCCCAGGATAGGGTGACTTTTGAAGGCTGGTCAAGAGTTCATGGATCACTAACTAGACACAGTTCAAACTCAGATTTGGTAGGTCTGGGAGTGGAGCCCCTTGTGGCCTCATGGGGAGTTTCTGCTTACCCAAAATTGATGCTTGTCAGGCGGTTCAAATCCATCAGTGGCGAGAGAGACAGACAGAGAGAGACACACACACAGAGCAAGAGAGTGTGCACGAGAGAGAGTTATGTGTAATCTATCTCCTGGTTTAAGGTCCCACTGAAGGGTCAGCTATGAGTGGATTCCGACTCAATGGGCAGTGAGTTTTTTGAGAGGGGCAAAGCCCAGGAGTCTGCATTTCTAACAAGCTGTCAAGCCATGCCTATGCGATGTTGCCAGCTAGCTTGAGTATTCCATTTTGAGAAGTACCGGCACAAGCAGGATGAGTGAGTCTAGAGGAGGGTACTGGAGGTGGGAAGACATAGATCATGAGAACAGATGGCTTGCAGGGAAGCTAGATGCAAGTAGGCAGTAGGATGGGTGGTGAGGGGATCTTTGGGTAAAGTGGAAATGCTGCACAGAGCCACGAGGCCAGGGGACTGGTGTCCAAATTGTAGGCTTTTTAAGGTGAGTGTCCAGATTTGATTTGTGTTTTCTAAACATGACTTTGGCAGCAGCAAAAAGATCAGAGGAATGAGCTGAAAGATCATTGAGCATCAGTCTTCCCCGGCAGGTTCAGTGGGATTGACACAGTCACTTCCGGTCATGGGAGCTCCGGTCATGGAGCTCCTCCTGCTGGTCGCAGGAAGAATGACCACGGCTTTGCGTGGCCATCGCAACAGGTGTTTACTATGTGTGTTCCAGGCACTGTCAGCATTTTACCTGCATTTTCGCATTTTACCTTCCCGTGTTATGCAGAAAGCAGATGATATTAAGCATTTTTTTTATTTTTTATT